TTTTTCTGTTTTTCTTTTGCTTTCAATTAAAATTGTGTCCCTACTAGGGCTGAGCATGGGACTTAGTGAATTTCGAAACGTTCCGCAAAACCGAACTGAAGTCACTCCGAACCAAAAAGATAATCGTTGATCGTTGACTTTCTCCAAACCGAACCGAACCGAGCCGAACTGAAAAAATAATTGGTACGGTTCTACAGATTTTACAAATATCCGTACCAAAAACCGAACCGAACCATCCCATACCGTGCCGAACTGAAGAACCGAATTATAAAAATAGATGTGTGATATTAATATATTTTATGTCAACTTTGATCCTTTATAATTTGAAAATATTTAAAATGGAAATAAAATATAGTTATAACAATTAAGTTTCACTTAAATTTCATACTTAGTAATATTTGAGATCTACAATGATGTTCCACGTTTAAGAAAAATATCTTTCAAATGGTATGAAATGCTAAAGAAATATTATTTTCAAAAAATATTTAAAAATTATTTAAAATTGTTGATGCTAGTCTTATTATATCTTATAACTGACATAGTATAGAAGGTAAAAGATATATTACTTTAATAAAAAACTATATTATATTTTGTTGAATTTTGAATTTTCAATATAAGTTGCACAAATTTAGTCTTAATTAAGATTTTGAGTTATTTCTCTAGTTGATTTAAAAATAAAATGTTTATTGTTTAACATGATAAATTATTGATTTAAAAAAATATAAAATTAAAATACAACTAGATGACCATTCAACAAAATTTAAAAAATAATTAAAAATCTCTGAATATCCCACCCGAACCGAACTGTTCCGATAGTCCCGAAAATCAAACCGAACCGAATCGAAAAATGAAAATATCCGAACCAAACCGATTTTTTGATACGGTTCCGGAAATTGGATTTTAGTAATCTACAGATTTCGATACGGCTCCTAAAACTTGTCAATCACATAGGCGTACAGGCCCATACTCACACCTAGTCCCTACCACCATGTTCCCATCAGTGCTACTACCGTGTGCCTTGGCACACCTAGCAAGGTGTGTCAAGACAGTTTAAAATGAACATGTTACTTTACAAAATGAACATGTGTAAGTCATTTTGTAAAGTACATGTTCATTTAGAAAAAGTCTTGACACACCTTGCTAGGTGTGCCAAGGTGCACCTAAGTATTTGCGTGTTCCCATATCCACACCAATTTTCTTATCATCAAAACTTTTTTTTTTTCTCCTTCAAACAACATTTAGTTATTTTTATTGGGAAATTACAGGTGAATAAAAATTTTCCAAGATCTCAAAGAGATTATAGAAAATGAACCGCTGTGCGATTCAACAGAACAATTTCGGTGCCTGTGAGGAGATTTGGGCGGCCGGAAGATGTATGGAGAAGAAGGAGACGGTGGTTTGCCCTAAGCCACGGCGGCTCGGCCTTGCCTACGCTACCTTTGACCCTTCTTATGCAAGACCCTTACGCTGGCATATGAGGTGAATTTTTTTTTTTTCTTCAATTTTCTTATTAATTAATTCCCCTCCAGTTCTGTTTTGTCAATTTGTTTGTTCCGAATTTAACTAATTTTGTCTTTCATTTTCCACATTTCATTAACAGTCATCAGCAAGAGGATTGTGATTCAAGAGCTGGAAAACGGCGGCGGCCGCGGCGGCTTCTTTTAGGATGTTATGCTGCTTTAGTACTTACATTCTTAAACTCTAACCGTGAGTCACTGTTATTACCTGCATTGGCCGAGGAAGATCTGAATGCCTTGGAGGGCAAAGATGAGACGACCAGTGTTGTCGGGGCCTTCAAGTCCTTGTTCGAGCCAAACGACAAAACAAAATCGGGTAAGGTTCTGCCGAAGTCTTACTTGAAATCCGCGAGGGAAGTTGTGAAAACTCTTCGTGAGTCGCTTAAGGAAAGTACAGTGGATATGGCTAAGTTTAGACGGACAGCTGATGCCGCAAGAGAATCAATCCGGGAATATCTGAATGGGTGGACGGGCCAGAAGACAGTCGTGAATGAAGTAATTTTCTTGAAATCTTTGTTCACTGTGCATTCTTTGTGTTTACATGAGTTCATTCTTCTCTCAGCTTACTAGCTTATGTAATGATATCTCTTCCTTTTTCTGTAGCAATAAGAATATACAATCCCGGACTACATTAGCTATAGCTAGTAGTGTGAATGTTAGTACGATGGTGAAACACGTTTTATCGTTACAACTGAAAATCGAGATCATTGTTTTTTACGATTTTGATAACTTGTGAATATTTTTTCATGTAGGAATCGTATGTCATGCTCGGAAAAGCTATAAGATCTCTAGCGGGGTTTTACTCGAAAGCAGGTCCATCTGCAACCCTTCCGGAGGAGGTCAAAACTGAGATACTGAGGGACCTTGCCACAGCAGAAAAATCTCTGTGAAACCGAGATTATGTATATTGATTTAGGTCAATTTGGTGAAACAGAAAAATGTTTCTTCTCTGGAAGTAGCAAAAACTATTTAGTTTCTTAATCAATATCACCGTGATTTATATTTCATGTTTGAGAAAATTACCCCATGTTTGGTGTTGTTGGATGGCTTTAGGTTGCGGTATGTCTGTACGTGTAGTTTTTTCTACTAGAGTCAGCTATTCAGCCTATTCGGTTATTGGTCGTATACTTGGCTGAGTAGCCGGTCTTTGGTTGTGATTATATGAGATCCTATCGAGAGAAAAAA